TCAAATCTCCAAAATTTTCTCTTTATAGAGTTCAAATAAAATCTCTTAAGTTGACACTGAAGAGAAATAGGGCAGAACAAAGCCCTCTTCTGTTGCTCCGAGATGACGAATGGCGACGGTTAGCACTGGCTCCGGCAGCTTGAAAAAAGTGAGGAAAGCCGTCACTGGTGGTTGACGCAGTGAACGAGCTTCGGGCGAACCCCAAACTCTTCAAGCCTTTTTTGCCAAAAAAACAGAGCAGAAACGGGACAAACTGACTACGGCTTTGCCGGTGACCAGCGAGGGCTATGACTGGCAAGTGGCTTCAATCTATGGCCGGCCTGAGATATTGGCGACTGGTATGGGTTAATACTGACTGCCCATGTCTCAGCTCGTGCTTGGTTGGGTGATGCCTTCGGGAAAATGGCTGAGGTGGTGTGATGATTGATGGTGGCCATGCATGGGACGACAATTGTTGTACGTAGGTTGGCTGTGGTTGGGAGTTTTTTCTCTGTGGAGGGGGTGATGTATGGCGGGTAGCGAACGGCGGTTGGTGGTGTCTTTCAGTGGCGAGGGAGCGACGATGACGGTAAGAATTGAACGTCAGCGTTTTTCGCCTGGGAGTAGTGCAGAGAGAGTCCGCATAGGATCAAGTCGATGCGAAGAGAGCCGACTAAGAAGACTGAGTTGCTCAGGACACCAAATTCAACATCCTGGAGCCCAAACCTAAACTTGTTTTCGGAAGATCCTAGATCCTGGGTCGCCCGAGCCTCCCAACACCCTCACGATGACAATGAGTTGAGGTCGTGGAGGGGTTGTCGGAGGTTGTGGCGCAACTCGTAGATCTGGGTGGTGATGGGGAGCGTCGGTGAAAATAGTCCATCTCATGAAGTGTGGAGGAGTAGAAAGCATAAGGGAGAAAAGAGAAGAAAAAAAAGAAAAAAAATGACGTGGAGAGATGAGGGCAAAATATACACATGGAAATGCCACATAAATTGTTTTTTTTAAAAAAATAACTTAGATTAAAATTTTAATTATAAAAGCCACATAATCAATTGGACCGGAATTTTTCGTCGTTGGCACTTAAGTAATCGTTTTTTCTCCGATTTGGCACTTATACTAATGGGCAAGCAGGCTCAAGCTCTAGGGACCACCTTTCGTACATTTCTACTGGTCCAGAATTCGAATAGCGAACAAAAGACCGGGAGATTGGATTTAGAAAGCACTTCCAGGCGAAATGAGATCGAAACACACCAAGGGCCTGCAAATCCCAGTAGAGAAAATCGGGCAATTTTCTGGTTTGTACACGAATGCGTGAGTTATACCGAGTACTCAGTAAATTATAGACCACTTCAAATCTTCGTTTTCGAGAGTACCTTTTTGAATCCCTCAAGCTGATCGCAGGTCAGTCACGGGGGGATGATCGCCAGAGCCTGGCGCAAACGCATACCAGACAGCACAACCAATTCCCAGGCAGACCTGAACCAGAAAACGCCCATAAATGCCGTCGGAATGGGTAATTGCCTCAATTATGAGTTTTTCAAACATTCCTTCATCTTTTTCTTCAAAAAAAAAAGAGTTCCCCATCTTTCCGGGGCCCGGGGAACAAATAGACACGGGGAAGAGGGAGAGGGGGGCTACGAGCCCTCTCCCGTTGCTGTTCCCGGACCACCCATCCCTTCCTTCCCCTTCGCCCGGCCCAGTGAGGTCCGATCAGTCGGTGAGTTCCTCTCCCGGTGGTCGAGTTAGCTTTCTCATATTCTCCTTTCTCGGGCTTGGATTTCTTCTTAAGACTCTCCCGCTAGCCTTTGTCATTTTTATCGTAAGATAAGAGAGCGCTACGCCACTTGTCTCCATTCCTAAAATCTTTTGTCCAAGAGATTGGGTGGGTGTTCTGTGCCTCTTCTGCCCTCTCACGAATTGGAATCGAACTCGATTCCCACCCCTGGCATGGTACGATCATCCACCTCCTCCGATGATCTATCTGCAAATGAGTTGGTTGATCCGGAATGATGCCCAAAGAAAGGAATATACATCAACCCTCGTTCATTGGAAGGAAGGGCTTTGCTTTCCGATCGCTTTTTGAGGCCGGTTTGGATGAGCGTGGGCAAGTTCGGGATTCGCTATCACTTTCTGCTTGGAGCGGCTCACCCCCTTTGTCACTTAAAGGGGAGGGGAGATCATTTGGGGTCTAGTTGAACTGCTACTTATATAAAGCAATTGTTCGATCAACCTTGATTTCATGTTTATATACGTCACTAAGTCGGCGAAAACTTTTGGCACTAAAGTGAGCGCCGTATACAATTTTTGGCACTTCTAGTGTCCTTCTTCCCGTGATATTCACTACTAAAGAATCTCTTCCTTTTTTTGTTAATCTTTTGTCTTTCCTTTCATTCTATTCCAATCTTGATGAATATCCCTTGTCTTTTCAGTGGTAGTCAATATTTTCTTTAACTTCCTTACTTCTTTTGTGTTTTCTTTATTACCACATGCTGCGTTTGGTCGTCTGCATTCAAATCGGGATAGGATATGATAAGATGAGATTATGAATTCTCCAAATATCCTTCGAATTATGAAAAATCCCCTCGTATGTTTGGTGCAACCTATGATAGGATTAAAATCTTTAAAATTCCTCATCATTGTAAAGCAAGCTTCTCCTTCCTCAAGCTTGCGACTCTTCTCATCTATCTCGCAACCAACTCCCAAACCTCGACAAACCTAAAAGCCAACTACCCCAAAACCCTAACCTCAATCCCACCCGTTGAAATCCACAATGACTCACACCTCCACACCTATAGACGAAATTCGGCACTCAGAAAAAATCACGAGAACTCCGAAGCAATGCCTCCAACGCCCCAATTCGATCATTCTTTACGCAAAACCCTCGTTGAATGTCCACAAGTAACTCCGATAACTAAGAAGGAGAAAAAAGAACAAAAAAAGTGAAATTATCAGACAAAAGTGATGGATTGGTTGATTCACGATTGTTATGCGGGGATTGGAGGGTCAAAAGAGGTATCGATCAATGACGAATTGGAATTGAAGTGGTGCGAGCAACTTTGCAATTGTGAGTTCAAAATCTGTTCATTCTTTTTCTCCTTTTGGTTCCACTTCTCTCTCTAGTTTTCGACTGGAACAAAATCCAGAGAAGGTGCCATGACTATTTTTTATTTTGTTAAGTTATACTTTTCTAATTTTTTTATCCAATCCGGGCTTATCTCACGCTCTACCCCAGATTTCTTATCCGGCATTTTATCTGTATATACGCGGGTTTATCCGGTCCATAGGGTATCGCCAAACACTGGATAGATTAATTTGTTATCCTATCTGGACTCAAATCCGAAATACCAAACGTAGAGTGATCCACGTTTGTTAAGTATGTATATATCTTTTTGGCTAGGGAGGGAAAGGCGGAGCTTCTAGTAGGCTCAATCTTGAAAATCTAGCTAAGTTTAAGACCATTTTCTAAATTCGGGATCGGATCGCATGTTGGGTCGATTCAACAAGAATTCACAGTCTCACCTATGTCTACATTAGATGTGAACACGATATTCATAAGCAAAAATATCCCTAATTTCAAAATGCCGAAGAATGCAGTAAATAAAGAGAATGCAAGACCATGCAATATTGATATTTGTACTTGAGAATCTAATTCCGTCATTGTCTGCAGATTCGATCCCTAATTTTTATGAAATGCAAAAGAGACGTCTCCGGTCGGGAAAATTTAGCCGTCAACAAGCGTGTTCTCCAACCAATATAAAAGCTAAGAACTTTCATACAGAGAATGAAGATGTAAGACGAGATGGGGTCCTTGTGGTTGCGGAGCTTAACCAATTGGCATTGGTGCTGATACAAGGCTGTGGGTGCTCGGCTTCCCGGGTTTCCAATTCTTGGATGTAAGCGAAGCATCTGTATATAGACTATGGAACATATAACTTAGGTTTTATTCGTATCAAGAAATGAGAAGTAAGGCCGAAAATACTATATAAATTGAGTTCGTTATAGCCAGTCCAGCATATTATGCAAGAGTGGGTGTCATATAATCTTGGCCAGCAAAATTCAAATATATATATGACAATAAGTATTGTGGTCACATTTTAGGACTTGATTACTCTTTTTGAAAGTTTTACGACTCGATTGCAGTTTCGTGATAAGTTTTACACTTGATTGCGTTTTTTGAAATTTTTAGGACTCAATTGCACATTTGGAACAAGTTTTAGGACTTCTAGTGCATTTATCCCATTTTGGAAATAGAAGAGAAAACGTACCGAAAGGGCATTAGAGTAATCTAGCGTAATCAAGTCTCCGTATCCATAATATCTAGTTTGTAGAAGAAAAGTATTATCCTACACTTTACCTAGGTGTCTAATCGACCTACCAATAACTAATTATTGGCGACTCCAAATTGAAATGAATTGTATGTTAAATTGGTTAAATAAAATTTTATCAAAAATGTGCGATTGGTAGGGCTTGAGAGTCCGAGTTCAGTGTAAGCTTAGTAATCCATTAGCCATCCCCTAGGGCGGTTCACCCGAGGAAATGTCACGACAGCTTGGCAACTCCACTGGGGACTTGAATTAAAGTTCTTAGTGAACTTAAACCGAATTTTCTCTTTAAAAAATATTTTGTTTGGTAGTATACATCCCTTACATTGTCCTAAAAGTTCTTGCAGATTGGAAGTTATAAGGGGTGGAACATTTGCTAACCTTTATCATGCAGATTGGTGATGGGAACGAATGGCTTAAATTCAATTTGGAAGGAGTGTTTGCTTCTTCGTCAAACACTCTCCTTCATCGTCATCTCCCCTTTGTGATTAGGCATTAGAATTTGTTTGAACGCACTGTCCTAAATGTTTTCAAATCAGGGCTAATTGAAGAACAAAGAGAGAATTATGAATTTCCACATTGATTTGCCACGTCAACTGAGTTTTTGTCACTTTCATCAATCTCAGCAATTTCACAATAAAATTTGATGGAAGCTAACAGATGATAATTTTATCATGGAAATATCAGTTTGACATTTTTGGTGACCCTCCTGTGTGTAGGCCTCCAGGTCTCTTGCTCTCATCCTTTTATGTCAAGGCAGAAAGAAAAAGTTGGAACTTTTTAGTTTCTTGTGCTCTGCTGAGAACCCGAAACAGATTGTCATTAATTTAATGCTTTTCCATTTCGTACTGATGTTACAGATTTGGAGGTTCTACAGCCAAATTTTGGGAGGAAGGAAATGGGATTTGAAGCGCCGAGATGAAAGTCAGTTCCATTTTTGTTTCTCAGAGAATTTGCAGTTCGTACAGCATCTTTCGGGAGTTTTGGGGGTTTGCTTTCACTTTTTTTCTTTCCCTTCTGAGGTTTGCTTGTAAAAATGCACGAGGAAACGAAGTTTGTAAATTAGATAGATGGAAATAGCAAACAGAGATATAGAAGTTGTACGTTGGAGATGAGTTTGGGAATCAAAGTTGGTGAAGCCCTCAAGCCATTTGGAAGAACAGAGTTCAGATCATTACCATTCAATCTTTTGATCCTGATTGATTGTTGTTAATTTTCTTGCATAAAGCACGAGAAAAAGCAAGAAAGAAAGAAAGAAATGTCACAGATTAATCTCACTTATCTCTCGTCCATTGGTCAAGCCACATTTCCATGGAATATGACTGAAGATTGATATCATGCAGGCATAGACCCTAGATTCTCGCCTGAGCATAAGAAACCACATGATATTGTATCATAATTTTGCTTCTCATGTTCTCTGCTGCCAGAGTTAAATAGCTAACTTTTGTAATCTTATACAAATGCTGATGAAGACATGACAAATTGAGTGGACACACGAGGCCGCATATATGAAATTAACAAAGCAATTTAAAGGCTCTACAAAATCATCGAAAAGACGGATATATTATGGAATTGACATCATGTTGAACTTGAAGAATTTGTCATCCCAATTAATTAGGTATGCGCGCAAAGACCATGACACTACACAATGTGTTGGTCAAGCGCTTCATCGTAGAGATGTAACACGCAATATGCTTTTCCAGAATCACAGTTCATACCAATTCAAATCTTTTGACAAAGAAATCAACTTTAATGCTGTTATTCATTCTACAATGTGATACTTTATTGAGCATGCATGACCACGGATTTCCATGCAATCAAAACTGGAGAAATCTTGTATTTTGGGTTGGACTTGGGAGGCACAAGTGTGAACGGTGTCTAGTCAAAGCAAGGGACAGAACAAAATGAACGTAAGCTTTTAAGTTTGAAAACATGTACTCTGCTTTTCCATATGTCTGCATCGCTCATAACAGCTCATATCTCTCTTGCACTACATTATATTAGTATGACCTCTCTGTTCACCAGAGCTCCGCTTTAATTTTATATCATTCTTAAAATTTTTCACTCTCCAGCAACCGGCACTCGTTTTTTCAGCCATTTGTTCGCTACTTTACTCAAACCACACTTCCATGGTAAGATTTTGTCTTCATAGTGTTTTCAGGTGCCTTTGCTTGTCTTGTGTATTAGCCATAACTTCTTCGCTTTTCCTTCTGTTTTTTCTTTCTTTCTTTCGTGCGCTTGGTCAAGCCTAAAGTGTTTTAGGTGCACATAAAGCGCGGATACTTCCAACCTCCCTCATCTTCTCCACTCAATCCGTTTGTAGTGTACCGGCTAATTAGATGCTTCCGGTGTTCGATTACCAAGTCGATAGTGATGGTTAATAAGAACTCATTGGATACTTTCTGGAATAATTCTCGTCTACAACTGTAATTCTTCAATTGTGATATTGGGTCTCAAGTAAGTTTGAACTGCCTCCCAGATGGTAAAAAGATATAGGTTGTTCATATGATTTACCTAATATCCCGCCGGATTAATCTGTCTTTGCGTAGATGAATCGTGATTATCCCTAATGCCTGACCAAGGCAACAGACTTACTGCTTGTCGAAAACAAATCTGGACATGAGACCAGGAGAGAAAAATATGAAACTGCATCACATCATGAGTATACTACACAGAGATCAATGCGGTCTTAGTATTATGGAGTCATTACTCAATCCGATCATTCTAAATGAAGCCTTCAATCAATATAACGTACAAACTGCCTCTTTTCTATTTCCAAATGCACTAAAATTATGTCTACTACACAATGCACTAATACCATCCTTGCAGACACCTTCTGATGCCCATTTCGTATTCCGCTCACAATTGCTGGTCTATTTTGGTCTTGACATCTAGAATAAACATGAGCTGTGAATGACTCAAGACTTTGAGATTCTCAAGACATCATCATCAGTCTCTTTGCTCTTTCTTGTAACACGTATGTAGCACAAGACCACCACGACCAAGGCCATCACAAATCCTCCAAGGATCACATCCCCACCGGTCGGCCCGGAGGAATGATGCCTTTGTACTCTTCTCGTGGCTCTCATCACTGGAGCTTTTGCCATCACGCTCAATCCAATCCCACCTTCAAATGGAGCCGGACTCAGAGCAGGTGTATGTAAACTTCTCTCTGTCGGTAATACTGATATGCCTGAATCGTCATATGCCCTTGTCTTGGCCATGAACATGAAAAACATGGCTAATGCAATATACATGACTGGATGCAGCCAAGCCATGTATTTGCTGCTTCGAAGGATTCTTGGACCAAGATGCAGAGCAATGCAAATGTACGAGACATGAGAGGTTTATTTATAAGGGAATGGGTAGGATTCAATTGATTCCTTCTTTGTAAAGTAATTTCGAAAAAGTTGGTAAGACCACGGTCTGAGGACTGAAAATCAAGGAAAGCGTGGAGAAAAAGCAGGCGACAAAATTTAGGCAGATGCTTTAGCATTTAACAAGGGGAGGTTGTGTTTGGATAGGTTGATCTGAGTAAATGTCCTAGGACCATGTATTGAGACTTTAAGTTATTATTTTTATATGCACAGTCTGTGAAGAAGATGGATTGTCAGATTACATAAGACAAGCAAGAACAACTGGCTTTCTTTCTATTGCGGTCTCAGGATCACTCAACACTCTTGTGAAGAAGAATTTTGTTTAATGGGATTTTTTCTTCCCTTTTGCCAGGGAATACCTGTCTGTCTTGTTGATTATGAAATGCAAAATCACAGTCACGTGGAATTGAACAGATTGCGAAGTTTGTATCTTGATGTAAAATATGAAAAGAGTTTTCAGTGAGTCTGCCTTGAGGAAATGGTCAGATCCCATTATAAAACTCTGTTTGGTATCCCATGTTCCTGATTTCTTTTATTGCGTCTCTAGACAGGCATGACGAACTGAAGCCAGCTTACTACTTCAATGTCTCGCTTCTTGAGGGTCACTTATTATCACACACTATGCACTAAAAATGAATCATTTGTTTAATTTGTTCCCGCCGTTCAAGAGATTTTTGATTCTACAGTTGATCCATCATGTTATTGTTACCCATAAAAAATGTAAACAATTCTTATGCATAGATTTCAAGTTTTGACTGACTTTCCAACAGCTGAATCCACGGAACTAATCACTAGTCTTTACATAATCATAAATGCATAGGATAATGTATCTAGGGAAGATAACAGAAAATAGGAGAGGTGTCCTCCATTTTATTATGCCTCAAAATGTTTCCTGATTATAAAAGTTTATGGCTGATTAAATGCCTTTGATAATCTCTTGGAGCAAGTCTTTGGTCCGTGAAGCCTTAAGCATTTCGCCAGAAGCCCCCTGAAAACAAACCACATAAGACCTAATTACATATCATTGATCAACCGTGTTCAATTGCCAAAGAAGGTAATTTATTCTTATTGAGCATACCTCCATACATGACGATATGAGCATTGCGCCTTTAAATGTGGTGACGCTGGGATCGGTCAGTTCGAAACCGCAAATGCTCAGCGTCTCCAACAACTTGGTGAATCGGCTCCTTCTCTTCGGGATTATGATCTTAATCCACAGCTTATGTTCGTTGATGCTGGTTACCCAAACATCTGGCTGCGCACTCACTAACAAAGAGTTAGACCAATCAGTTTCAAAAGTCAGCATCAGAAGACGATGCAATGTCGAATTTCTAAACCTTAATCCCATTTGCTTCCATATCTTGCGCTGCGTCAATCTCATCGACCAATGCCTTTGGCCTGTCTTCACACAGTGCCTCCGTTTCGAGAAGTTGGTCACTCAGGGCCTTCACATTCTTCTGTAGCTCCACTATGTAACTCTCTGCATCATCTAAAATTGTTGCCAGGTTCATCTGACATAGACAGAAAAGCACCAAAAAATTCGCAGGGTCAGAATCTATACTCATATATGTCTGCACAAAAATGATCAGTAGGTTCTTGGGTATTTGCATTTGTGATTTTTGGGACTAATGAGCGTAGCGTCAGGAGCCTCTGGTTCAGCTTTAATCGCCTCCGCCTCTCAGCTTCCAGGTTCTTGGACTTGTATTGAGTGTCATCCTCCTCCTCCTCGAGCTGCCCTCGGCCGATCCTTCCATTCTCGCAACCTCCCATTTCACTTAAGCACAGTCCATCCATGGCACAAATCAAGGATGGACTGAACTTCAAGTGAGTGGCCAATTGGGATAAATCTTGCTGAGGAGGAGACACTGGGAATGAGAAGTACTTGAAATGGGAGTTTGTCCTGGATTGATTATATAAAGCTCAGCCTCACAAGAGTAACATGCATGTAGGAGAGAGATTCTATTGTTTGCTGTGAGTTCTCATCTTGCTGCTACAAATCTGTTGGGTAGTTCAGTCCAGTTGTTAATTCCATTCTGTTGGGCAATCTCATTTATGACAGAGCCCCAAAAGACAAAAAGAGAGAGAAAATATTATGCATATGAGCTTGTAGGATATTCAAGGGATGAGTAATTACTGAGTAGAATGATGGGAATCATGCACACTTCCTGTAGAAAAACAAAGGGTTTCCATTGATCATTGTCCACAAAAGGGTTCATTGATCAGTCTGGGGAAGTGTGGTCAATGTTAGATTTTATATGAGCAGTTGCTCATATTTGACTGGAGGCAATGGAAAAGTTGTGCACTTGACTTACCAGAACAGTAACAGAATGCATCATAATTCTTCTGGAACTTTGGAAACCCCTTTCTAAAAAAATATATAATACATATACATAAGTATAAATTCATATATATATATATATATATATATATATATATATATATATATATATATGTTCCTAATCAATGGAGCCCCCGTTGTAATTTTCCATATCTTCCTTGACTATAGTGAATTTTATTGGAAGTTTCACAATAAGGATGGAAAAGGATGCTTTGGACATAGAGAACTACAAACAGCCAACCATAGGGTTATGTATATGATTCAAAGATCTCTTTGTTCATTTTTGTAATTATTTTCTACTGGCTCTTTTCTCCCCTTTTCTCAACTAATTCTCTCTTTCTTCTTTTTCATATTTTCGATGCTAGTTTTCTTAAATTTATTTTTTTACTCAGTTTCACTTTCCCCATACACATATTGCCATTGGGATTTTTACACTCCTTTTGCATATTGTCACAAGTCACAACAAATTCGCCTCAGCATAATTTCTCATGTGATCTGCTGGTTTTGCCTTTTGATAAACTATCCTTTTTACGTTAAATGTGTTGGAGAATTGGGGATGAAGATAAAAATATGAAATTGAATGTGAGGTCTTGCTCTTGAATAGACACTGTCCTTAAAGTGTACAAATTCGTTTGTTTTGACTCATTGACCATAAATTAATATGAATAACATTTGGATTTAATCGATTTACTGCCAATATTAGAAGTAACAAACCAATATCGCATGTATCTCTTCACAATTATTTTCATAAATCAAAGTAAGTTAAGATAAATCGAATAAATATTTTTGGAAATTTAATTTCCAGAGCTAAAAGTGACATTAAAATAAACCCCAAATTAAAATTCAGTTTTTGCCTAGTGTCAAGTGCCCATTTTTTAAACTTTTGATGATGTAGTATTTTTCTTTTACCTCCACACTCTTTTCCATTAAATTCAGTCTCCCATCATTGACACAAACTCTAAAAATTGCCCCCAAATTTTCTAACATTTTCTATCTCAATCTTTCCATTTCGATAATTACCGGAAACTGTAATACATATTGAATTTGAGTTTCATATATCTAAGTATCTCACAATATTTGAGAAATACACACACCAAAGGCTTGTGCAAATACTAATTGCGCCGTTCCGTTAGCCCCGTTAGTTTTTGCTTAGAAGAGAAATCGTACGTGAATATATTCTTTTTATATTAAATTTCCACCCTAGGTGCTTGTCACCAGAGTGACAAAGCTTTCTTTCAAGGACAAGCGGCACTGGCGCTCATGTGGTGCCTAGTGAGATCCCCGTTTAAAAAAAAAAGGGAAAAAAGTACATTATAGGTATTATAACTTTTTTTTTATCATTCGGATATCATAACTTTTGTATAGCTTTCACTTGAACGCCATAACTTTTTCTAGAACACTTGAATGCCAAATAACCTTTCAATCGATCACTTGAGTGTTTATAACTTTTTTAAAAACGTTCCAACATTGGAGTGAACTATTTTGATAGTTATGATACTCAAGCGATCGATTGAAAGTTATAGCATTCAAATGAATATTTTTTAGAAATCATGGTACTCAAGTGTCAAAAAAAAAAAGCCATTGCACTCAAATATGACACTTGTGATATCATCCAAAAAGGACTATAGATTGAAAATGAAAAAAAATATTAAAAAGAGCTAAAGGGAGTGAGGCCTTCGCAAGAGAGGACGAGCAACTCTCGTCGAGACCCTGACGAGTATCGCGAGCAAAGGAGGGGGCTATTACGCCACCCCGTGTCGCCCACCCGTCTTCCCTTGCGTGCATTCGTTCTCTCTAATTTTTTCATTTATAGTTTTGAACTTATCAATGGTGTAGCAGTCGCTAGGATAAAAATTAACAATGAATATTACTTGAGCTATCGGAATTCCCATTTTGTGTTCTTTTATAAGTTAGAGGATTCAAAAGATTAGTTTTACGACTTTAATGCACTTTACAGCCCGCCCATGTTTAGGGACATGTAATTCACCCTAGAACGACCAACACTGCAACTTTTAAGGGTGTCCGACTCTGTTGTCGCAAACGAGACCACCCTTTCTAAGACCCCTTCCTCTGAACCACTCGTGGCAGGAAGCGACCCGCCATGTCCTCGGTGCTTCGGCGACTCCATGGCGTCTTCACCGGACGGCCCAGGCTCCCCCGCGTGGACCTCGGGAAGCAATGCGACCTCGGGCAACTGGTCGCCAAGTTCAAGCAGCTCTCCGAGTCCGGCGAGTTTCGTCGCAGGCGTGTCCTGTACGAGAAGACCGTCCGGCGCCTCGCCAGGCACCGGCAGTTCGCCTTGATCGAGGACCTCCTCGAAGACCAGAAGCAGTACGTGGGGAGTTCCAGCGACAAATTCGCGGTCCGTTTGATAAGTCTTTATGGGAAAGCGGGCATGTTCGAGCATGCCCAGAAGCTGTTCGACGAAATGCCTAGCCTGAAGAGGGACCGCTCGCCGCTGCACCTGAATGCCCTTTTGGCAGCCTGTATTTTTGCCAAGAAGCTCGATAAGGTCGACGAGATTTTCCGTCTGTTGCCGGAGAAACTGTCGCTGGATGTTGATGTTTGCACCTACAATACAGTTATTAAGGGTTATTGCCGGATGGGTGCTCTTGATCCGGCTCTTTCATTGCTTGATGAGATGGAGAAAATGGGGATGGGACCTGATTTAATTACGTTGAATACCCTGCTTGAGGCTTTTCATGGAAATGGTAGGTTCTTGGAAGGAGAGAAGATATGGGATGTAATGGCAAGCAACAAATTTAACCCGAGCATCAGGAGTTACAATACAAGAATTCGCGGGTTAATTTCGCAGAACAGAGTCGCCGATGCCGTAAAGCTGTTTGATGAAATGCGGGATAAGGGAGTCAAGGCTGATACTTATAGCTTCAATGCTTTCATTGTCGGGTGTTGCCGAAATATAGACCTGATGGGGGCCAAGAACTGGTACCGCCAGCTCGTGGAGAGTGGATGTGTTGTTGATCGGGTGACGATATCTGCTCTCGTTCCTTTCCTTTGTGAAAAGGGTGACTTTGAATTGGCTCACAGGCTTTGTATCAAGGCCATGGATAAGAAGTTATTTCTTGGAACGGATACTCTGCAGTATGTTGTGGATTTCTTGGTTCGGGAATCGAAGGTTGAACTGGCAAAAGGGATTGTGGAACATGGCAAGGCACAGAAAAAGCCGTATGATCTAGAATTGCCTCAAGCAGAGTAATGGCAATTTTTCATGCTTTCGAACAATCGATTCTTGTGGTTACTACTCCTCAGATTCATTTCTCCAAGTGGTGCTTACTGGCCTCGACCCTCAATATCTGTTGTCATAGATGACATTGCCTCAGCAACTAGGCCACGATAAAGTAGCGCTCATCGAGCCTTGAGCGAAACTGAAATATGAGGCTTGGGGGCCACAGATCTGAAGATTTTTCTCGTCCCCGTCTTATCGACGAGGGTGGAGAGAGAGAGAGAGAAGGGTGCAAGGGAGAGAGAAGGCCGATCAGGAGAGAGCTAAAATTCGGTAGGAGCAGAGGTGGCTGGTGCTGGCTGTGGCAAAGGTTGAGGTCAGCAGCGATGTGGAGATTGGTTGTTAGTGGTAAGTTGCAGAGAGAGAGAGAGAGAGAACAAAGAGGGTGGCGAATGCGACGTGGAGGACGAGCAGTGGTGGCCAGCGTCCGCCGTGCCAGAGGTGGAGTAGTGTGGTGGTATAGAGGTTGGCGTTGGTGGCAATGTGCTCGCGCGAGCCCGCGCACACACATTCACTCACCAGGGTTGCGGATTCTTGGTATGTACTGTGTTGGACGGGGTTTTCTGCACACAAATTTGTAAAGTTTAACTATCGACTCTTGTGAGCGAGAATTCTGGTGCACATTGCACATAAGTTTAGTGAGGATGAGGCAATATTAGACCCGGCGAATCCTCAAGCCGAAATTTTTGTGGGCAAGTGTGAGTCTGTATGGTAACGCTTAGAGGGGGCGATTACGATGTTCACCTAGTTCGGAATTTCTTTTGTGATGGCTAATGAAAAAGGTTCGTAAAGTTCAAAAAAAAAAAAAAAAAGACTAGATCAAAAGACCCCATAACCTGAGGTTTTCGAAATTGGATCGGGATGCATTTCTTTCTTTCCCTTGAGTTCTCATATGGATAGATACCGGAATTTTTGCCTAAGGAAAATAAGAAAATAAACTAGTGTACATTGGCCATGGGTATTCGGTTGGTTAGGGCGTATTTGGGATTGTGTGGTTCGTGTGGCTTGGTCAGGTTCGATTCCCAGCTGAGCATGGAATTAAAGCGGGGGCCGTGGCGGATGGGTTGCTATGCTAGTCTCCCCAGGGAATAGTCGAGGAGTGCGCGCAAGTAGCACAGACGCCTCGATTACAAAAATAAAATAATAATAATAATAATAATAATAATAATAATAATAAAACTAGTGTAATTGGTTTTCGGTTTGGTCCGATTCCTGGGTGGAATCGGGAACATAGTCGATTCGTTCCCCCTTTGGAACCACCCCTAGGAACCGGGAACTAGACCGGCACTCTCGAAAATCGGACCCAGCTAGTTAGTTTGGTCCAGTTCAATCGGTTCGTCTTACTCACCGTTAAAATAAACATGACCTGCAGCCTAATAAACTCAAATGCTAAGTGTCTTTCCGATATTTTTCTCTTTATTACTATGACCTGTTTTTGAAGAAAAAAATTAAAATTCGATGAGTCTCGTGAGCAACTCATTGAATTAAGTAGTAACGAGTTCGAACTCCATTTGACAAGATAGTCAAATAACTCGAGTTTGAGCTCAAATCGAAATTAAACGAGTCGGTCCCAAATAATCATCTATCGGGAATAACTCGAGTTCGAACTCCATTTGAAAAGATAATCAAATAACTCAAGTTCGAACGCAATTCGAAATTAAAACGAGCCTAAAACCATGAATTTGGAATAGCTAATCAACTTAGTTCTTGCCATTGTTTGCAACTACTCAAAACGGTTCTAAAACCCTTCCTCTGAAGTTCAGAACCACTCGTGGAAGGTAGCGCACCCCCATGTCTTCCGTACTTCGTCGCCTCCGTGGCGTCTTCGCCAAGCCACCGCCCCGCACCCGCACTCGCATAGACCATCTCAGCGGACGACACGACCTCGAGGAGGTGGTCGCCAAGTTCAAGAAACTCTCCCGGTCGACCCACTTTCGTCGCAACAACGTCCCGTACGAGAAGACCGTCCGACGCCTCGCCTATCACCAGCAGTTCGCCTTGATCGAAGACCTCCTCGAGCACCAGAAGCAGTACGTGGCGCGCTCGAGCGACAAGTTCGCGGCCCGCCTGATCGGCCTTTATGGGAAAGCGGGCATGTTCGAGCACGCCCGGAAGCTGTTCGACGAAATGCCTAGCCTAACACGGCGGCCCTCGCTGGTACACCTTAATGCCCTTTTGGCCGCCTGTGTTGAATCCAAGAAGTTCGATGACGTCGACGAGATATTCCGGCTGTTGCCGGAGAAACTGTCTCTGGAGATTGATGTCTGCACTTACAATACAGTTATTAAGGGCTACTGCGTGATGGGTGATCTTGATTCTGCTCTCTCGCTGCTTGACGAGATGGAGAACAAAGGGATTAAGCCTAATTTGATATCGTGGAATACCCTGCTTGAGGCTTCTTATGGAAACGGCAGGTTATCGGAGGGAGAGAAGATATGGGATTTAATGGTGAGCAAGAATGTTACTCCTACCGTCAGGAGTTACAATCCAAGACTTCGTGGAGTACTTTTGCAGAACAGAGTCACGGATGCTGTTAAGCTGTTAGATGAAATGCGGGATAAGGGAATCGAGGCTGATACACACAGCTACAATGCTTTCATCGTTGGGTGTTGCCGAAATGGAGACTTGGACGAAGCCAAGAACTGGTATTGGCGGCTCATGGAGAGTAAGTGCAATGCTGATCGGGTGACGGTGTCCGCTCTTGTCCCTTTGCTTTGTGAAAAGGGTGACTATGAATTGGCCCATAGGCTTTGCATTGAGGCCATGGATCAGAAGTTACTTCGCGGAACAGATACTCTGCAGAGTGTCGTAGATTTCTTGGTTCGGGAATCGAAAGTTGAACTGGCAACAGAGATTGTGGAACATGGCAAGGCCAAGAAGACACCGTATGATCTAAAATTGCCTCAAGCAGCGTAATGGCTTTACTCGCGTTATGTAACAATCAACTGTTATGGTTACTACTAGTCAGACTTCATTTCCCCGATGGTCTTTGCTGAGCTCAAACCTCGATATACGATATTGTGGATGGCATTTTATCAATCAACTAGGCCACGGTGAACTAGGGGAAAGCAGGAAACAGGTTCCTGTTATTAAAGAATGCCTTTTCCCTTCATTGTTTCCACTGTTTTTGTGGTTGTTGTGGAGCTACAAATCGGTATTGACGCTGTTCTGTTCCTAAGACTGTAGAGTCTTGACTTCCCGGGTTTTGAACTCTTCGGCGTAGCTGTAACGAGAGCATAATTAGGTTTTTAATTCAAAGCAAAGGGAGCTATGACCATTTTCTCATTTGGTTTTGTATGTGGGGAAGGCATGGTGCAATGCAAGGAGTTTCGGGCTATCGCCCCTCTCGAGTTCCTTGCAGTGACAAAGCCGAGTGCTACTTGCTGTTCCCATTATGATTCTTCATTTTTTTCTGGCCGAGCCAAGTCGGGGGCTCTGAATCACGAGCTCATTCATACCCGGTCTGCGCCTAAGTAAGGTGCTTCTCACGTTGGGTGCAAAGCATCCTTCTCTCTACTCTTTACCCATAGGATTATTGCATTGCTTTGTTCTTCTCTTGTCTATGGGCTTTTGTCGAAATAGAAAGTGCTTCTGTCGCCATGTTGCATGCAACCCTTTTGCTTTTCCGACGAATCTTTATTTTTTGTGAGAATTTTGCTGCCTATATTTGCAGAAAATTTTCTTACTCTTTTTGATTTGTCTCATTTAAAATTTTGTAATAGGGATTTGTTGTTCTCTCCGTTTACTGTCGCTTTCTCATATGACTTAAAAAGTTGGGATAATGGCAAATAGACTTGACTTTGAGCAATGTGCGATTTGATCATGAACTTTTAATTTGTTGATGTAGTCGCTTGAAGTTTAACATAATGTTCAATTTGGTCCTAAACTTTAAATTTGTTCAATGTGGTCCACTGAACTTTTAATATGTGTTCAATTTAGTCCACGAACTATATGAAAATGTTCAATATAGTCCCTGCACTTGAATTAATGGAAGGACTATATTGACCATTTTCAAATAGTTCGGGACTAAATTGAACACATATTAAAAGTTCGGGGACCACATTGAACAAATCAAAAGTTCGGGGACCAAATTGAACATTAGGTTAAAGTTTAGGGACTACATTGAACAAATTAAAAGTTGAGACAAATTGCACATTTCGTTAAAGTTCGGGGACTATTTGTGTCATTTTCCTAAAAAGTTTGTTCTCCCTTTTATGTTTCTATCAAAATATTATCGTTCATAGATGAGAACACGTTAGAAGATGTATCTGAATGCTCATTTAGAAAAGGGATAATGACAAACATGGTTTTTGAACTTTGGCTCAATGTGCGATATGATCCCTAAACTTTTAATTTATTCAATGCGATCATTGGACTTTAGGTACATATTCAATATAGTCCCTGAATTTTGTGAAATGTTGAATGTTGTCCTTTCATTAATTTAAGATTAAATACAACATTGAACATTTTTTCATAGTCCGAGGACTCAATTGAACATGTTCAAAAAATTCAATGACAACATTACATATTGGGTTAAAGTTTAGAGCTCACATTGAACAAATTAAAAGTTCATGAGCCACATTGCACATTATGCCAAAATTCAGATTATTTGTGTCATTATCCCTTAGAAAACTTGTGGATTTATTACCTAACAGGTCCTTCAATAAGATCAAGGTAATACTCGAAATGTCACCTTCAGTCTATCAACTAATAAGCTTTGATCGACGGGCTCTGTTGATCCAATATTTATAATTTTTTTTAGAAAATCAGAAAGCAATAGTTGAATTATTTCATGATGATTTTCAATTGATTTTGTGAAATTCCTTCTATAAAACTTAATGCAGGACCTCCGAATAATTAATTGAAGATAACCTATCATAAGAATTTTTTTTTACTAGAACACAGATTAAGTTGCACTCTATGATTGGATCCTCTTCGTCGCACGACCCGGGCACAATCACAAGTCCGACTGAGCGTTATTTTGGGGATCTTGCATCCACCATAAGATGTTCGATTCAAGTCACAATTATCTCGTTCACTTAGAATTTGAATATTCAGAATTAATGAGCTTGCTGCAATTACCAGTGTATTAGAAATCAGGAAGTCTATCCACATAAGGTAATGAATGCCTAAGGTACAAGTTGGTCAAAAGTTTGCTCATGACATAATTTGAACTTGTGATATCATAAATGATACTGTGATCTTTTTACCAATAGAGGCTATCGGGCTCGTTGGAAAACAAATATGACAATAAAGAGAAATAGATCAAAACAAATATTACTAAAGTATTTTTAAGCATAATATTCAATATTCTTTATTTCTCCCACTAACTATATGAGTTTGCAATTTTTATAAGAGTACCTTTCACGTGTTCCGAGTTACAATTTTTCCGTCCTCTTAAATCAATTCTCATATGCTAAGTATTATAATTTTCTGATATGTTTTATGAATTCATGACACTAAATACTCGATGGTTAATTTGGATAAATGCTAATGTCATGCTCCTAGTATACCTAAAAACCTTCTGTTATATAATTTTAGATTTTTTAGTAATCGTTGGTCAGTTTACAGTAACACTTGACAAAGCACGGATAATTACAGCTAGAGTATTAAAACTTGTATCGATCCGGCACCAACCTTACAACTTTCATTTCATGCATTTAGATCCTTAAACTGGGGAAATTACCAAAAAATTCCTAAAACTGTTGTAATTGTGTCAATTCAGTCCTAAATAATTTTTTTACCAATTGAGTCCTAAACTTTTTGCATTTGTACCAATTCAATCCATCCGGCTAATTTTAGCTGGAAATCACTAACGTAGCGCCGCCGGTACCGATGTGAACATTTTTTATAATTTTTTTTAACAATTTTATGAATTTTTTATTATTTTCTTTTTTTTTTGTTTATTCCATTGTGATCGGTAACGGGCGAGGCTCAACCTCACCAGTGGCTGGGTTGGCGAGGGTCAAGCATCACTGGCCATGGGCGAGGCTTAACGAGGTTATGCCTCGTCCAGCCACTAGCGAGGGCACCTTCGCTAGCGGCCATGAGGTCGAAGGCCACGAAGGCTAACCTCGCGGCCTTTGGTGAGGCTTGACCTTGCCATCGGCTAGGCTGGCGAGGCTCGCCCTCCCCGGATCTAGCAAGGGTCGAGCCTCGTCGGTCATGGATGAGGCCCAACCTTGCCAAATCCGGCGAGGTCGTGCCTCGCCCAACCCCTAGTAGCCCTCGCCAGAGGCTACCAGGTTGACCTCGCGGGCATCGAAGCCCGTCTTACTTCTACGAAGAAGGGATTTTGGGAATGACATGTGGAATTTGACAAACGGGTGGACGCACATGCGAAATAAACTAGGGCAGATCCTGGCTCTGATATCATGTTAGAAAATTCAAATCGAAAACTTAAACTGACAGGTGAAGGGAGAATAATGTATATAAAGAGCGTATAAACCCATAGTTAGGGGATTGTGTGATATTCAACACAGGCGAATCTCTTCCTTTTTGTATTTATTCTTGTGTTTCCTTTCATTCTCTTTCCATCTTGCCGAATAGCCCTTCCTTTTTTGTGCTAGACGAAATTTCCTTTAAAATTCTCTCCTTGTTTTTTGTTGTTTCCTTTCTTACCTTAGAGTGATCCATGTATGTTAAGTATGCATATCTTTTCGGCTAGGGAGAGAGAGAGAGAGAGACGGGATTGGATCGCATTTTGGGTCGTTTCAGCAATAAATCACATTAGATGTGATCACGTTATTCATAAGCAAAAATATCCCTAATTTATGAATGCCGACGAATGCAGTAAATAATAATATTGATATTTGTATTTAGGAATCGAATTCCGACATTGTCAGCGGATTCAATCCCTAAGTTTCATGAAATGTAAGAGAGACGTCTCGGGGGAAAAAATTTAGGTGTCGACAAGGGGGTTCTCTTTTCAATATGAAAGCTAAGAACTTTCGTATAGAGAATGAAGATGTAAGAGGAGATGGGGTCCTTGTGGTCGTGAAACTTTCTACAGTCCAGCTTATTATGCAAGAGTGGGTGTTAATTAATCTTGGTCACCGAGATTTAAGTGTGTGTGTATATATATATATATATATAAATGTATGACATTAAATATTGTGGTCACAATAAGTCCATCAAGTTTATTTAAACGAGTGACTTTTATATCAACTACGTCTCTTTATTGATTTTATTTAAACTTTCGACTTGGGATAATTATAACAGACTGACGGTTGATCGAGTGTTCGGTAAACGAAAATATTCAACATTAATAGGACACAATAAGACACAATATAATTACAGCTTGCACTGATGTCTCAGTCGAGAGCGAGAGGCTCGATCACAGTGGATAGAATTTGCCGCCCAATGTCGCCGTCCTGGACGCCAAACCCATCTCCGAACTGGTAAAGCATATGCGCAGCTCGAGCTGTGTTCACACTGACATCGACGAAGCGCCGGAGGAATGGCGTCTTGTCATTGTCGAAACAATGAGCATTAATGCTTTTCCATGCTCGATTTATCAATCCCTTGATGTGCTCCCGAGCGACGTCTTCTGATACGTTCTTTTCTCGCATGTAACACACCACTGATGATGGAGCATCTCCTCTGTCTACTTCAGCCTAATCAAACAAATAAGTCAATTTAATGCGTTATTGAGATTCGATCTCCTTCGTTCAATTACTCTGCATGTCGTGTTAGTAAAAGATTTTTCAGCAAGCTAAGAATTTATACATCATGTCAAATTCAATGGGTTTATAGCTTCTGCACGGAAGTTTGATGATTACCTTTGACGTTCTTAGGTCGTTGCAGAGTCGAATTATCATGGACACATTGTAAATCAGATCCTTGTTTCTCTCTAGCAAATCTGCTGCATCCTCCAAATTCATGTGTCCCACAAAGAAATAAGCATGAGACAACAGCAGTGGTCCCGAAGATGATGTCCAAGCATTGCTCAGGTACTCTTCCAAAGAGGGTGTGTGGCCCAAATTGTCCCACTTTGCTTCAGTAAGTAATGCTTTGCAAAAATCTAACCACTGTGAAGAGTAAGAAAAAAAAAGGATTATCAAAGATGATTGATTATGTAAGGACAGAAATTAATTAGGGTTATATGCAGTA